CCTGTATGGTATACAATTTACATGGCCCTCTTTCGTGGAGTTGGTAGATTCCTTGGGGCACTGAGAAAAGACTGCTCTTCGTGTGTTTTTCTGTAGTAGCATCTTGAATGCCTTCCCTCGTGGCACTGTCATGAGGGTGCAGTAATAAAGCAGCCAGAAAAAAGAGAAGTCGGCTTTGTAAATTCTTTCCCATGTGCGGGTAGAGTTACTTCTTGCCAATTTGTATTTGATGTGGGTGAAGGAGATGTCATGGAGTGGTTGTGGCTTGCCAAAGGGATGCCAGTAAGCAATGAGGAGAAAGCACAAATCAGCCTTTTGCTTATTAGTTGGTAACATTCATTTCATTAATCTTCTTAGAAATTATCACCAAGTTTGGCTGACCATGATGGAAATTTGAGTAGATTAATGAAATTGTTTATTTTCTTTATGGAGAGCCATTTAGCTCTCGTGAAATAAAACTATAATTTACTTGAATAATTACAGTAGCCACACTCTCTAGTTACATTTATTTTTAATGTATGTTTTGAGAAGTCATTTCAAATGTTTATCTTTGTCCATAGAATGTGTTTGCTGAAAATGACGAGATCGTCTAGCTTTTTTATTACAGAAATAGCCAAATGCAGTTAAAAGCTTTGCATATAGATCATTATTCTGGGTACCACCACATTTCTGAACTTCCTGAATTATCTCCCTGGACTTGGAATTTAGGTATCATGATGATAAATAGCGAGCACATATCTGCACACTTGTAGTGGTTGTAGTAGGCACCTGTTGAATGAATATGAGTGCTGTTTCTATCTCATCAGTTTCTAATATGGAAAGACAAAAGAGCAATAAATTAGATAAATCTACCAACTAAATAATATCAAAGGTAGAAGATGTCCCTTTGCCTTTCTTCACAGCCCCTATTTAGCAAATGTCTTCCTGTCTCCATCTTCAAGGAAAGGTGACAGCCGGTAGGATCTCCTTTAGCCTTCTGTGTGCCCGTGGTAGCTCTCTGCTTCCCTGAGTATTCTCACCCTCTTCCTCCAGCCGTCCTACTAAGCCTTGACTGCTCTCCTACCTTCTTCCGGACTATGCCCTATCTGCCCTTCTTATTTTCTTCAACATCTCCAGCCTATGCTTCTCCACTGTTTTTCTCAGTCAACTCTAATATCAAATGTTCTCCCAACTTAAGTAAAACTTGTCTGCAGTTACTGCCCTTGTTCCTTCAGAAGGGCAGTCCGTTCTTTAACTGTCTTCCCCACTTCACTCTTCAGTGAAATGCTTTCTCTTCTCTCTTCACCAAACTGCCGGCCTGTCCAAAGCTGTGGCAAGTAAGATCATTGATCACTTACTGTCTTGTCCCTTCTCTTCTTCTTTGCACCCATCCATTCTCTTCTCTTGTTTTCTCTTCTTTTTTTCTTTTTGATGCTACGTTCCTGGCCTACTTCCCTTCCTGCCTGCATGTCTCTGTCTTTCTGTATTCCTCTGCCTCTGCCTCCAACACCCTGTCCTTCTCCCTGTCTCCCTCTCCCTCCCCCTCCCTCCCTCTCCCTCTCCCTCTCCCTCTCTGTCTCTGTTTCTTTCTTATTTTGAGGAAGGGTCTTCAACTTACCTTACTAAATTTCCCAGTCTGGGCTTCAACTTGGGATCCTCCTGCTTCAGCCTCCTACTGTGTTGGGACTGCAGGCATGGGCAAAGACACCCAGCTGCTTATATTTTAAGATACATTTTTTTCAATACTTTGTATTTGACTCCTTTACTCTTTGCCATTCCCCTTATAAAACTGTGCCTTTGACTTTCATGTCATAATCTTTATTTTATTCGTATACCTCTTAAACTATTCCTTCTCTTTCAGACCCACCTTCACAATAAGCTCCTAAAATACACTTTCACTTTAGACCTTTCTCCATCTTTAGTAGGCTCATGTAGCCAGTTTCTCAGAGAATATCTGCTTGATTATCTCTGGATGCTTCATAATTTAGAAGACCAAACCTGAACCTGCAGTCTCTCCCTAGCCAGCTTTTCTCTCTGTATTTTTACCATTGCAATGAGTAGCACCATCATCTGCCAAGTAGTCTAAGTCAGAACTAGTGAGTGTATTTAATTGCACGACTATTTCATTGCCTAAATCAAGCCAACCAGCAGGCTTCCAGATTGTGTTTTGATACTTTGTGTTCATCTCTGTGGTCATTTGCTCCCTTTCTCTTCCACAAAAGCTTCTTGGTTCATTTTTCTCATCTGATATTACCAATATAGAGATGCTGTTTAATTAATTACTCGTGGTTTCATCTTATACTCTTCAAAAAATTTGTTGCTCCTGTAGCTAACAGAATGCTTGAGCAAATGAAAATAAGGCCATTTCAACTTTCCTACTTTACACCTTTTCACATTTCATTCCTTCTGTTGGCGACAGAAATATTTCTCATACTGGTAGACATACTACATGCTTTCAAATGTTCACTGAGAACTTTTCATTTGGTTTCAGTTTTGTTTTCATATGTTGGTGGTAATAATTTAAAAATATCTACCGTATTTAAGCAGGATGTAGTGGACATACCTTTAAGGTACTCTCAGGCTGTGAGGCAGAGGCAGGAGGATCACAAGTTTGAGTCCAGCCCAGGAAACTTACTGAGACCCTGTGTCACAATAAAAAATAAACAAGGGCCAGGGATGTAATGGGTTTCATCTCCAGTACAAAAAAAAAAAAAAAAAAAGAAAGAAAACCTCGGTCTGAATAGCTGGTAAAACTTTTTTCAACATTGTGGGTTGTCTCTTCACTCTGTTGATGTACTGTTATTGTACAAAAGCTTTTTAATAAAATGAGGTCCCAGTTGTTGATTCTTTATAGTATTTCCCAAGTGGTCATGGTTTTGTTCATGAAGTCTTTGCCTACTCTTGTGTAACTTTGAGCATTCTGCCTATTCTCTCTTCCAGCAGATTTAGTGTTTCTGTTTTTTTTTTTTTTTTTTTTTTTTTTGGTACCGGGGATTGAACTCGGGTCTTTGCGCTTGCAAGGCAGGCTACCAAACTGCTGAGCTAAATTCCCGGCCCATAGTGTTTCTGTTTTAATATCTAGATTGTTGAACCATTTCAATTTTAGGTTAGTGTACGGTGAAAGATATGGAACTAATTTCAGTCTTTGGAATGTGGAAAGCCAGTTTTTCCAGCACCACCTTTCCTCCAGTGAAGGTGGTCGGCTCCTTTGTCAAAGATAAGGTGGTTGAGTATGTCTGGAGTTGTTTCTGCGTCCTCTAGTCTGTTCCATTTATCCTCAGGTCTGTTCTTTTGCCAGTACCATGCTTTTTTTTTTTAATTGAATTTATTGGTACATTCTAGGTAGACAGTACAGTTACATTCATTACTGGGATCTTGTACCTTTACATGCCAGGTCTTGGTTCTCATTTTTTCCCCTTGTCCCCACCCTCCCTCCACCTACTCCTCCCCTTCCCACCTTCCATGCTTTTTTTTTTTTTAAATCACAGTAGCTTTGTAGTATAATTTAAAGTCAGGAATTGTGATATCCCCAGCTTTGCCCTTGTTGCCCAGAATTGCCTTTGCTATTCTAGGTCTCTTCTGGTTCCAAACTAATTTTAGGATTTTTTTTTCTAATTCTATGAGATATACTGTTGGGATTTTGATTGGGATTGCATTGAATCTGTGTAACAGTTTTGGAAGTATGGCCATTTTCTCTATATTGGTTCTTCCTATCCAAGAACAAGGGATATCTTTCCATTTTCTGATAGCCTCTTCAGTCTCCTTTTTCAGAGTACAAAATGCTGAAGTCTTCTTTGTTACTTTGATTGCTAGGTTTTTCTTTTTTTTTGGATACTATTGTGAAAGGGATTGTTTCTCTAGTTTTGCTCTCCATGATTCTGTTATTAGTGTATAGAAAGGCTATTGATTTTTTACTACTCTGCCATAGCGAAGGATGTCCTTCAGACATTTGTCTCTAAATGGACGGACCTTGAGACCATACTCTTAAGAGTGGGTGGACCTTGGCACCATACTCTTAAGTGAAATAAATGGGACACACATTACCATATTGGTTCTCTGATGTGAGAAACCAAAATTGAAAAAAAAGGACTGAAATGTACAATGGACGTTGGGGAATGGGAAGAAAGTGTTCAGATGGGAAGAGGAACGAGGGAGGAGAGGGGAAGAAAGGAAGAGACTAGAAAAAAGTGAAAATAGAAAGAAAAATGGAAACAAAGCTTTTGTACGTAAGGATGGGAGGGGGCTTGATGGTAGGAATGGGATAAAATAAAATAAATTTTAATTTAAAAAACTCATCACCTTCTTACCTTTTGTGTACTGCTGATGGTGTGACTATTGAGGCTGTCTTCCACGCTCTCACACATTTGAAGAACCAGAGTACGGTAAAGCTTAATACCAAGACTAGCAAGGAAAGAATGGAACCCCCGCAGTTCCTAGGTTTACTGTTCACTACATACACACAAGGTAGTGTTGCTGTGCATTTATATGTACACAATGCACATAGGTGTTTTTAAATGTGCATGTGTGCTTTCATGCACATGTATATGTACTTTTTCTCACAGAGTGTTCATGTTCTTCAAGTTTGAAATTCACTGTACACAGGATAGGATAAATTCTGAGGTTCTTAATAGGTCTTATATGATCTACTATTTTCTGGCCTCTACGTATTTCTCTGTCTTAATCTCTTACCCTGTCCTTTCTGTGAAAGTGGCTCCCAACCATGTGACTCCTCACCTACAAAATGCTATCTTTGTCCTGTTGCATCTTTGATGCCCCTTTGATGTGTGGAATTAGCTTGCCTTTTTCCATTCTCTAACTTTAATTTTGATCTTCTATCTCTGTTTCACAAGTATATCCAGTATCACCTCTTTCTCTACTCTGTTTTTACACCACTTGTTAAATGTTTAACACAATTTTTCATGGTCCATTTAGCATTTAAAGTGAGAGAAAGCAGTGTATTGTTTTTATATGAAGAAATTTAAATTATAGGAAAGGTAACCCTTTCTTCCTTTCTGTTTCAGGAAACCCATCTTCCCAGGAACCTAAAAGTTCCGACAGTACATTAACTCCAATGGAAGATTCTGGGTATGATTTATCAAGTGAGTGGGAAACAGAACTTTCAGAGTTACCCCAGCACTTTGTGAAGAGCTGCAACCCCTCACCCTTTCCACCACTGTCTTTTGTGAAAAAAGCCCAGGCCTCCCCAGAAAATCCTCTGTCTTCTCACATGAAATTTTTGCAACATCTTCTTGCACTAAAGAACTTGACTGAATCAGGTAGCCTGGCGGTAACCCGTGCTGAAAAGGACTCTTCCACCATCTCTGATTCTGTTTCTCAGATGCTTGATGGCCTGATCACATTTTACCGTGATCCCAAACTTCCTTTTTCACGGTTTTGGACAGAAGCTATTGAAACTTTAGCAAGACTGATCGATGATTGTAACCTCTCTAACCATATTGTGAAAAAATGTTCTAAGAAGTTGGAAGAATTTGAAAAAACCTTACTGCAGGTTCTTACAGGAAGAAGCCACATAAACCGGGTGAGTAACCCATCTCATCTCTCTTATTAGTGATATAAGACGTTAGTAATTTAAGGAAATGTTCCATTTGGATAATCCTACTGTAGTCCTTTAGCCTTGTGGCTCAGAGTCTTTGGCCTTGTCAGCAGCTCTTAACTGTTATGTCTCTGCTTTTGGCTTCTGATTGCTATGATATTTTTCTCTCCATTAGAGAACTCTGCTTCAAGTTTGTTACTTTGAGTTACTTTCCCTGTTTTATTTTTAATCCACATTCTTGGATTATTCTCTCATGTTTTTTCTTGCCTTTGTTTAATTACTGTTGCTCAGAAAACCTTAATACTTTTCAGAAAACTGTTAACATTTAAAGTTTCCCAAACTATGACCTTTTTTTAATGTTATGCTCCTCACAATGAATTGCCTATATTTTATTGAATTTGTTTGGTTTTTTGTTTGTTTGTTTGTTTTGGTATTGGGTAGCACATGTTTTAAGGTCAAAAAAATTTCTTTCCTCGTTTGGATTTTCCTTTGTGTGTTAACCAGCTTTCTGTCACTGTGACAAAATACCCAAGATAATCAACTTAAAGAAATCAAAATTTATTTTGGTTCATGGTTTCAGAGTTTTGTATCAGTGGTCTCTTGGATCCATCACTTTGGGCCTGTGGTGAGGCAGAACTTCATGATGGGGAGTGCATTGTGGAGTAGAGCTCTTCCTCTCGTGTTGACCAGGAAGCAGAAAGAGAGGGAATGAGTGACCCAGTATGCACTTTAAGAGCACATTGCCAGAAACCCAAAGTCCTTCACTGGGCCTGTCAACTCTTCATTCCACTTCCTCTCAAAAGTGCCACAGGCTGCCAGCCAATCCTACAATAGTACGCAGGAGTACAGGGCACGTTCCAGTTCCGAGCCATAAGGCTTTTCAAATGGCATAACCCTCCACAGACCCTTTGTATATGTGGATTAATTGAATAAACAGGCTGCAGAATACATTGTGTAAGGCTGTTTTTCTGTTTTGTTTTATTTTTTCCGTATTTATGCAACATTACTTATAAAACTTGACTCAGGGATTCTTTTTGAACGAGAAACATTTAGTCAATCTGAAGCCGTTTCATTGTTTGGCTCTTGAGACACAGTGAAGAGTTTCTTTTTCATATAATTTGCTACCTTTTTACTATCTGATCCTTTGAAAAACTCCAAATGCCTTCACATTCTAGTTCTTTTTCATTGATTACTAAAAATATCAAAGACTGTAGTAAAAGCACCAGACTTTGTTTCTTTGGCTACATCTTTATTGTTTGTCCTCCATGCAGTACAGACTCTATTCTGAATTTTCATGACCCTGGTAAAATTGGATCTCATGAGCTAATTTGTTGCACCTATATTTGTTCTTTCTGTCTTGGTTAAGGTCTGATTTGATCAATATTTTAGGGTTTTTTTAATTATGGTTTTGTCATTTGTGAGTGACACTGAATTTTCTGTCTAGGAAACTACAGTCTTTTCTTGCTGGACACAATTAGGAATTAAATACTAAATTCCCAATGTTTATATGTGAGATATTGTCTCGGTGTGTTTTCTATTGCTATAACAAAATCCTGTAGACAAGTTGATTTATAAAGAAAATACACTGTTTACCTTGGCTCACAGTTTCGGAAGCTGGGAAGTCCTAAAGCACCACCAGCATCTTCGTGACATCCTTGAGGCCCTTCTTGGTGCTTATTGCTGCCTCAACATATGACAGAGGGTGTCATGTGGTGAGATTAAGAAAGAGGTGTTAGTGCCTGTCTCTCTTTTCTTATAAAACCACAAATGCCTTCATAGTGTCTCCATCCCATGGCCTCATCTAATCCTATTGCTCTGAGAGGCTCCCACCTTTAAATACCATTAACATGAATTTGGAGATTAATATTTGAACACATGAACTTTTAAAATGTAATATAAGTAGATATTAATAAAGAAAATTGAGTTCTATGCAAAAAATAATTTTTCACATCAAAAATAGAAAATAACAATGCTAAATACACCATGTAATGATCATAAAAGATTATATTTTCGTTTGCTCATCTATTGCTCAACTTGTTTCCTAATAATACTACACATTTTTTTTTGCATAAAATATAAAACACATGAACTTCTAAGCAACACTTTGAAATCCTAGCAGATATCCAATCTATAACAGCAAAGTTAGCAAATATTCCCTAATCCTTTGGATGTATTTTGCTTTCTCCTTTTAAAACTACTTTACATTAGTTCTGTGTGACCTGCAACCCTGCAGATACTGGCATTTGTATTCTTTGTGGTCACCAGAGGATGCACATTTGTTTTTAGTTTAGTCTTCCTCATACAAGGTTCGGAGTTTGCTGGGACTTACACCCACACAAGAGTAGTCTTGAGCAGTTTGTAAAAGTAGGAGAATGGATCATAGGAGCTTGTGATGATACATATAATTCTCCAATGTTTATTTTTCATATCATGTGCCATTGGGCCAGCTGTTGCCAAGTAGTTGATCAATGGAGAAGGAAAATTCAACAGATGGCTAGAAAAAGTGAATGGATGGCTACCTGGAAGAGGCCATTGTTCCCAGAGAAAGTCGGGTGATAAAATTATTCACCACATTTACAGTTACTATGAGGATTAATAAGTGAACTTTAATGGTTTTCTCTCTGGAGGTTTTTTGGTAGTTTGTTTGTTTTGTCCTCCCCAGCAAAAGCATCTTGAAATAAATCAAAGTTGTGTCATTGCTGTCCCTTCATCATCATCATTATCTGGATATGTTTATAAATCTTGATTCTTTACTGAAAAAAATTAGTGAACATTTGCTATTTATAAATACAATTCAGCCTTTTTAGCATTTCTCAAATAAAAGCATAGCCTTAAAGAATATTCTGAGGTGATAGTGTAACTCCTATTATTGCATTGTTATTGAGCATACACTTGATACTTTAAAACAAAATCATAGTTTAGAAAATATTTACTCATAACAAACTTGTTTTTATAGACTAGAAGGGTTTAATTAAATAATATTACTTAAAATCTTCAGCTATTCTGATGGTTTCACTTCAGTGAACTTATGTTTAAACGCTGAAATAGAAAATGGTGTTGTATGAATACTTCAAAATTCTATAAAGGGATTACACATTTTTATAATTAATGTGTAGGTTTTACATACAATAAATTTTCAAAAACATATCCTCAATAAGTTCAGTAGTAAAATTATTTTGACTACAACTTAGTTTTCTAAAAAAATGATCAATAACAACTTCATAACTTTCACAATCTTTAGATCACTATTATAAATTTCAGTTGTTGTATGCATTAAAGAATAGAGTGCTGATATGAGATGTCCTGGGAATTGTTTTGATAATTCCTTAGTATTCACTTGGTAGAAATTATTAAGAAGTTTAGGAGAAAATACAGTGGTGCTTTCTCAGATTTAGATAAATGCTTTTTTGCTATTATAGGTACTTTATATTTTAAAAATAAATAATTTAGAAATTGTTATCTCAAATTTATATCTTTTCTTCGTTCTTTAGAATAACTCTAAATATGGGACAGGAGAAATTAATCTGCAGTGACATTTTTTAATGTGTGCTTAAAACCACATGCCCAACAGGGGTCTGCACAGTTCCTCCTCTAGGGCTCCTGGGAAAAAGCTTTCTCTTAACTTGAGGTTCAGCTTGCTTTTACTTGCCTGACCAGTATGGCACCTTTACCACCATCCTGTATACTTTCGTGGGGCCAGGAGTGTTTATCTTTTAGGTCTTTAAAACCCTTTGTTTGACTGAGGTCTTGGGCTTTCTTATATTACTGACCTCTCCTAGACTTTTAGACCTCAAATTGTATTGTTTTTGTGATTATAAACACTGTCAACTAATCTTAGCATTGCATTGCCACCTAATTATATTTACAGGCCATCATATGATATTATGATACTGTCAGGATTATGATATTATCTGGTCTTACAACCAGAATGGCCCTGATTATATTTAGCTTTTTAAAGTGTATATTTTCAATTTTTAATTTTTCTCTGAAAAATGGAGTGATTATATTAAATATGAAAATATTCATTTTATCATTGCACTTTAACATATGTTGCTAAGTCATATATAGATAGATAGATAGATAGATAGATAGATAGATAGATAGATATTATACTATGTTGCATTATTTAGAAAACTTTCCTTTCATTTCATGTTATTTTAAGCCATTAGATAACTCTTAGATATATTAGTTATGGAAGTGAAAAAAATTGCCAGGTGAATCTTTTGTTTGTATGGTCAGCAGAATAATGATCCCCTCAAAGATTTTATAGTATAATCCCCAAACCTATGTTATGTTACATGGTGAGCAGTAAGGAAAAAATGTGCATGTTTATAGTATACAATAATTGCATTCATCATGGAGAGGTGGTACATGTTCATAACAAGTGTTATTTCTTTCTTTTTAATCCCCTTCCTCTCCCTCCATCTTGTTGTCCCCTTGCCTTGTGAAAAAGATCTGTATCCCTGTTCCCTATTCTCTTTTATTTTTTTCCATATTTTATTTATATTTTGAGTTTCTCATATTTTCAGTTGTACCCTTGAATGGATGTTGAAGTTTTTCAAAAGCTTGTACCTATTGAGATAACAATATATTTTCCTTTGTTTTTGTTAACACATTGTATCGTTTTGATTGAGTTCCATGTATTTAACTGTCTTTTAGATAAATTCTACATGATCATGATTTTCGATCCATCCTTTTAAAGTGTTCTTGAAATTGGTTTGCTTATACTTCATTTTATTATATTTACTATACTATGCTATACTGCACTTTATTATACTATATTTTTGCATCTCAGCGATCAGAAATACTGCCTGTAGCTTTCTTTTCTGGATGGTATCATTCCCTGATTTGATAACAAATTGATGCTGGTTCCATAAAACAGGGTCAGAAATGCTCCTTCTACTTTTAGGAAGTGTTTAAGAAGAGGTGGTATTCTTCCTGCAGTGATTGGTAAAAATTCATCTGTAAAGTCATCAAGTTCTTCA